CTTGGCTGAGTTGCTTCCATATCTTGGCTATTATAAATAATGCTGCAATAAACATAGGGATGCATATGTCTTTTCAAAGTAATGTTTTTGTTTTCTTTGTGTAAATACCAAGTAGTGGAATTACTGGATCGTAAGGTAATTCTATTTTTATTTTGAGGAAACTCCATCCTGTTTTCCTCAGTGGCTGCACCAGTTTGCATTCCCACCAATGGTGCACGTGAGTTCCTTTTTCTCCACATCTTCTCCAACACTTGTCATTTGTTGTGTTTTTGACTTTAGCCATTCTGACAGCCGTAAAGTGGTTGTCTCAATGTGGTTTTGTGTTTCCCTGGTGATGAGTGATGTTGAGGATCTTTTCATGTGTCTGTTTGCCATCTGTATATCTTCTTTGGAAAAATGTCTATTCAGGTCCTCTGCTCATTTTTAATTGGATAATTTCTTTTTTTGGTGTTGAGTTGTATAAATCGTTTACATATTTTGGATATTAACCCTTTATTGGATATATCATCTGCAGATATCTTCTCCCATTCAATTGGTTGCCCTTTTGTTCTGACGATGGTTTCCTTTGCTGGGCAAAAGCTATTTATTTTGATGTAGAATCAATAGTTTAATTTTGTTTTTGTTTTCCTTGCCAGAGGATACATATCTTGTAAAATATTTCTACAGCTGATGTCAAAGAAATTACTACCTATTTTCTTCTAGGAATCTTATGGTTTCACAGGTAGGTCTTTAATCCATTTTGAGTTTATTTTTGTTTATGGTGTAAGAATAAATTTCCTCCAATTTAAAGACTCTGAGTGGGTCATATTTTCCTTGCTGGATCCTGAGTTCAAATGAAAAGTTCCTGTGGCAAGAGGAACACAATGTTATAGGAAGGGCCTTAAAAATGGTATAAGAGCAAGACTCGGAGTCAGAATATTAAAATTTAAATTCTGGTTCTGCCTCTTCCTACCAGTATCTTCCTGGGCAAATCACTTAAAACTGGTGGTTCCCAAACTGTGTGCCAAGATGGCCCGGGCACCACAGTGACCTCAAAGGGGTGCCTCAGGATATTTAAAGTTTTAAAGATAGTAAACAGAGTGAAACTCAACATCTGTCAGATACCCCATGAACTATCAGTGAGGTAGTTCATCCTTTAAACCTAAGATTGCACTACAATCCTTTCAATGATTACGTATTTCTGTGAGGCTGGATTTCCCACAATCACGATAAAAAGCAAGTACTGTATGAAAATAAATGTGGAACAGAAAATGAGGGTAGTGGTGCCCAATATTATTTCAAGGCATGAGAAGCTGCATAGTGTCCAACACATATATGACCTATAAGTAAGAGTGTTAAAAATGAAATAAAAATAAAAGTGCTTTCTCTCAATGTATGTGTGGTATGTGTGTTTTCTCAAACAGTTAGTTATTAGGGCATAAGTACTTAAGCTGTGGGACCTAATTCTTTATAAATGGAATGGTTAGATATTTCTTTTGGCCAAGAGGCACCATGAAAAAGTTACTCAGACACAAAGGGAGATACGAACTAAGAAGGTTTTAAGACCATCTGAGCCCTGTGTTCTCATCTGTACAATGAGATGAGAACTCATTGTACCCCTGCTTCAACTACCCCTGTGACACTTGTGTCTCCTTTGATGAAGCCTAAAATGTGCACAGAGGCCTGGATGCAACCAGTCACCTTATTCCATGTCATTTGATTCATCGCCATACGGTGTATAGCATCCCATCACTTCCTACGTTGTAGGATCAAAAGTGTAAATCAGTGTATATTGAACTACACATGCAAGAATAAAATTCCTATGTATTCAAGAATATAATCTGTCTTTCACTAGAATTTGCCATCTTCAATTGCCTGCTACTCCTCCATCCTCCTTAGAGCCTCCTATTTTCTTCTCACCTACACTCTGGCCCATTTCTAAGTCTATAGTTTGTCAAAAGAGAACCAAAGAGGAAGTGTACATTTTCTATACAGGGTCTTAGACTCTTCAGAAGAAAAGTATGGGTCATTAACAAAATCTATTAGCCTTATTTATATACCTGTATTCTTTATTTTATTTATTTTTTTTTATCTTTTTTTTTTAAATTTTTTTTTTCAACGTTTATTTATTTTTGGGACAGAGAGAGACAGAGCATGAACGGGGGAGGGGCAGAGAGAGAGGGAGACACAGAATCGGAAACAGGCTCCAGGCTCTGAGCCATCAGTCCAGAGCCCGACGCGGGGCTCGAACTCCCGGACCGCGAGATCGTGACCTGGCTGAAGTCGGACGCTTAACCGACTGCGCCACCCAGGCACCCCTACCTGTATTCTTTAAAAAGTATAAACTACAGAAACCAATTTTTTCATTCAAACATTTGGTATAAAATCGATTAATCACAGAAATCAATATTTTGAGCTAGCCCATCTGCTTATTTACAGATTTTTGCCAACTGGCTTTTATTCTTTCCCTCATTAACCCTTCAAGAGATATTTTTTGAGCACCTATTATGACAGTAGCAAAGGGGAAAAGACTTTGTTCATATCCATTAGGACAGTGGCACTCAAAGTGTGGTCTTTGAACCAGGAGCATTATAGTCACCTGGAAGCTTGGCAAAAATGCAAATTCATGAGTCTTGCCTTAGACACTCTGTATTAGAATCTCTAGGGTTGGGCCTAGGAATCTGTATTTTAATGTATCTCTAGATTATTCTCTTGTGTGTGTGCTAGAGCAACTACTCTGGGAGCTTATGACCTAGTGAAGAGTTATGTAAGCTACACTAAAAGCAATGACTATCCTTGGAGATATGTACAAAGTGCAATGGAAACCTAGGAAGGACCCCTAAGAACAAAACTAATAATTACTGAGCACCTAGGATGTTCCAGGCACATCACAGGAATTGTCTTAGATACCACAGTGATTGAGTGATATTTGAACCCAACTGATACTTGACTCAAATTTTATAATCACTGTATAAAACTGCCCTAGGGCTGAGAAACACAGGAAGTTTCACAAAGAAGGCTGTTTGAGCCAAGTCTAAATTTGCTAAATCAACAAGCTGGAGCAAAAGGGGCTAGGAGTACTGTTAGCCCTGGAAAATGTTACAGAATATGGAAAGGAATGGAAGCAAGAGAGACCATCACATAATTAGAAACTTGAGTCAGTCCAATAGAAAGTGCTGCGGATAGAGATGGGACTGAACAGCTAGGTAGAAGTCTTATTATAAAAAAGGGTTGATATGCTACATAAATGGATTTTTATTTGTCACATAAGGAAAAGAAAAGAGAACCATTGAAGAATCTTACAGAATGAAAAGACCAGTTTGATGTGGTAAAGATTACCAGTAGATTAACAGGAAAGAAGAAGAAGAAGAAGAAGAAGAAGAAGAAGAAGAAGAAGAAGAAGAAGGAGGAGGAGGCGGAGGAGGCGGAGGCGGAGGAGGCGGAGGCGGAGGAGGCGGCGGCGGAGGCGGCGGCGGCAGTGGTACTGGAGGTGTAAGTCAGGTAGGCAAGCAGAGCAGTGGTCCAGGAAAGAGGTAATAGGGGTCTGAATGAAGGCAGCAATGGATGTTGGGCATAGCGGATCGGTATGGAGCCATGAAGATGAACACTGACAGCACTTCACTATTGAGATTCACTTCTTTAATAAATATTTACAAAGTTTCCACTATGAGCCAGGCACTGATCTAGGAAGTGAGGATTTAACAGTGAACAAAACCTATAAAGCCCTTCCTAAAGCTTCCATTCCAGTGTGCACTGGTTAAGAGATAGTTGGTTAAGAGGGCTGGGGTTAATCAGTATAATGTCAGTAATAATACACAAGGTGAAGAAAAATGAAACAGGAGAGGGGAAAGAAAGTGATGAAGTGGCTGCCATTTTAGGGAGGGGTCAAGAAAGGGTACTCCCTAAGGTGACATTTGGGCAGTGGCCTGAATGAAGTGAGGGGTAAGCCATGGGCACACTGGGGGCAGAGGCAGATGTGATGGGAATTGAGGCCAGAAACCTGTAAGAGGAGGAAGAGTCTAGCAGGATTGTCTGATGGTGGCAATTTACTAAGAGACATGGTAGGTGATGCTAAGAGGCAGCCACACAGAGCCGGGCTCTAGTCCTGTGGTCTAGATGGACAGTGGGGGTTATCTGAAGGAAACATCAAGAACGTTTTCTAAAATTACAATTCAAAGATGCTGGCTGAAAGATTTTCTTACCACATAAAAGGATCAGACTTTTCTAAGGACTTCATTTTGGTAAACAGTAGAGCCAACGTTATTTAAATGAGTCACAAATTGCTTTTTAAGTGCTATTTCAAGGACTTTCTTGAAAGCTTTTCAGAAACTTAAAAGCAGAAGTAAACTTTAGGGGGGAAAGGCTTTATTTAATAAAAACCATTATATTCATCCATTGAAAGTATATTATTCGTATCTTAATATTAAAAATATAATCTATCAAGTAAATTGAAAAGCAGAAAAACTGCCACAATTTAATATTAGTAAACTAAAAACATTCCTAAATCAATAATCATGTTAACCATTTTCAGAATTCAATCATTACTGTGTACTCACAGTCTTGTTTCTTGATTAGAACAGCTGGTCTACCAGGATGCTGTTCCTTCGTGTTTCTGTGCACACAATTTTATGTATTATCCCACACTGAACACGTAATATTCAATTCACTTGAGCTGTGAGGCCTGGAATTTAGAGATTAGCTCGTGGCTTATTAATTTCAATGATTTTATCTGAGGTAAGCTGATTGATCTCTACCTGACTGAACCCAAACTCTTGAAGTATCTCTTCAGTATGTTCTCCTACAAAAGGATCCCTCTTGGAAGAAGGGACAGCGGGGGTGTCTGACAGCAGAGGTGCAGGGCGGGGACTCACACTCTGCTCCTCATCAGTGATAAATGAGCCTCGTTCTTTGTTATGATCATGCTGGGTGACCTCTTCAAATGTCAGAACTGGAGTCACACACGCATCTGTGCCATCGAAGATCTGACACCACTCTTCTTTGGTCTTCTTTGCAAATACCTCTGTGAATCTCCTCTTCATTTCTGGCCAATCAGTCACGCTCATTTGATTAGGAAGCTCATCAGACTTTAGTCCAAGTCCTGAGAATAAAAACACAATTTCTTAAATTATTATGCTTTGGGTGGAGTGGTTATAGTCAATAAAATGAGTTTTGACCTCACCATAGTGTCCCAAATAGGGTGTCTTTAAGGGTTTCTCAGATGGGTCAAGAGACAAAATTCAAACTCAACTTGGAGCCAGTAGCTGGAAAGGGCAAAGGTAATAGGGTAGCAAGACTGAAAACTGACTTCCTACTGCCAAGATTTTATTATTTACATTTCACCAAAAGTAGTCTATTTGTAAAGGTCTAGTTTCCAGAAATTGATTTTTCCCTGAGTAGGTTTTCAAAAAGAAATTTCCTCAAGATGTTATTATCTGTCATACTGATTTCAAATACCCCCACATTTTATATAGTGTTCCCAAACCCTACGAAATATAAAATTTAAACAACTTTACACATGACTATCCTAGTTTTTAAGGAAGAAGCCTGAAGATAAATGATTAAATTCAAGATTGCAATTTAACATGTAACATTCATCTCCCTTTATTTTGGACAAATAAAAGAGCTCTAGTCAAGCAGTGATATTTGACTCATTACCCTCTTACAAAACTGCTGTGAACTAGGAACAAAGGATTTGTAAGGTAACCAAACACCCATGCAAAAAATTGTTCCTACAGCAAACAGGACAGAAAGTGATCAACCAGTCAAATCATGAACGGGGCACACAGACTTTTGTGTCAAGCATGAAGGAGATCATGAAAAGCTCATCAACACATAGTGGAGAGAAAATGAAAGCATTCAGCTGGGGATTTAACAGAAAGGATGGCTTCTCGGCCCAGGACCCGCTCACTGCTTCCTTTATTAACTACAAGCACCTACCTCTGCAGACACACCTGAACTCCAGTGCTGATTAAATTATACCCCAAAAGTACTTTACTAGAGTTTGGTGTAAATGTCATTTTCTATTCCCACAAGGAAGAGGGTTTTTAAATGTGGATCTTAGAGTGGAATAATCATGAAAGGACCTTCGTATGCATGTGATTTTGCAGAAGTTCAGTCAAGTTAATCTAATAATTCTCACTTTTATCATCCTTTCCTTCCCTATCATGTAGAAGAACGATGACTAATTAATTGCATGTAAGCTGCTTTGAGGAAGAAAATCCCTATAGAGGAAAGTAGGTATGAATACTGCAGGCCCTTCTTAGGGTTTTGGGATATATAAGGAAATAAGGAGAACTCACATAGTTCTGGATAGTTGTGAAAAGACACCTGTGGGATAAACAAGTAAATTTTCCTCTGACCCATTCATATACGAGGAAAAACATTGAGCCATTACTTCAGGTTTATCACTATAATCTACACGCACACAAAAATGTTCCTAAGGATGTCTTTTACTTTTCTTCTTTTTCCTGACTACGCCAAACTCTGTGATTGAAAAACAAATAAAGTGGCCAGTTAGCCAAAAAATAGTGATTTAGATCATAGCTACTGTTATAAATATCTTTGCATGCTTTTCAGTTTTTTTTTAATCAGAATGTGATCAGAATCATAATACTAAATAAAATTGGATCCAATATGCTCTCCCTGTAACAGACATTATATTTGAGATTAATGATCTCACAGGTTAAAGTTTGTATACTGGAAAAAATACTAGAAATCAAAAGACTCCAGCTCCTACCCCTAATTCTGACACCCCAGCTTTTCCACTGTCTTATTATCCTTTCTCAGCCTATAGTTTCCTATCCTGCCCATGACTCTGATCAAGGCCACAGGACTAACTACCAATGGTTTAGGATAGGCTGTTTCTTGTGCTCTTGACATTCCTGTATGGAACTCTAAAACCACTCCCCTACATGAATATAATTGTAGATTGCAGCTAGTTTTTATAGCATAATCAATTATTAAATTTAAACAGACTTTTAAGGACTGGCCTGTAGACTCAGACTATTTAAAACCTGGGAAAGTATGTTTTGATTTCCAAAAAGTGATCTTATATATACATGTAACACATACACATACATACACACAATTACACAAAATACTTATTATTTTAAGTACATGCCATAAACTTTACTGCTCTGTAACACAATATTAGGCATATATTAAACAGTTAAAAATTCATGTTGTAAGTATGCAATGATACATGTACAAAGATTAATGTTTATTAGTAAATAAATATTTGTTACAATGCAAAGCTGTGGAAAAAACGTAAATGAACTTGAATAAGGAAACATTTAGATTTTAGTACAGGCGTACCATACAGTTTCATATGGCTGCTAGGAATATCATGAGGGTGCAGAATTTTTGTAATGACAAGAAAGGACATCTTTAGTATACTGTTGAATACAAAAAGACAGCTATTAATTGTAAGTTTTGATAATTTTATATTATATATAAATACAATTTATAAATAAATAAAACAACTGTGTTGGTATGTGCACAGAAAAAGTTCTTGAAAGCCACATCCCAAACCTCCCCCAAGTGAAAGAACAAGAGAGAATTTTTACTTCTTTACAAATTCTGTATTACATTCTTTTCTAAAACACGTATTATTTTGAACTACTTTTCATCTTTTAACAATTGTGGTAGCATAAAATTTATAGTAATTCTATTTAATTTTTTGAGGACCTGCCATATTACATTCCCACTAGTAATGCATAGGGGTTTGCAGTTTCCTCACAATCTTGACAACACTCATTATTGTCTGCTTTTCTTTTAATAAGATTTTGAAATTTTAAAACAACTTAAAAATTCTCTACTGCTTATCTGTATATACTTATAAGTGTCTTGTTATCTCAAAACGTCATGAAATTCTCTGTATTTACAGATTTTTTTTGCCCCAGAAAGCAGCAGAGACACAGTACAGTAGAATTTTTACCTTATAAAAACCTTGTGTATTATGTTAAGATTAAAGTATGGTCTCAAAGATCTCAAATATAAGATAAAATGAATAAGGTAATAAAATCAGTATAGATGTGGCAGCTTGTCCAGCTGGGCCTGAGAGAGAAGTAATGTATATGTGATTAATAAAAGTAGTACTTTTGTAAATAAATATTGTGAAAGAAAGAGAATGCTGTGGCATTTTGGCATGGACTATGTAGATTCACCAAAGCTATTTTAACATGTTAAGCCGGCCTGAAGCACAAACCACCTGTCAGCCAAGGATCCCTCATGAACTTTGAACGGAGAGAGGAGGTTAAGGACACCATACAAGGCTGTGGATATAAAGAGAGGAGGCTGTAAAAAATCAGAGTGGTTACAGAGTTTAGACTTAGAAAGAGAAAGCCCAGGAGAAAGTGGTCAGAAGATGAAGGGCTGGAGCAATCAGCCTGCTAGAATAATGTCTCGTTTCATTTTCAATATTTCCAGAAAAATTCACTCCTTGTGGTGGAGTGTGGATGTTAGAAATGATCATTCCAAACACGTATGTTTTAAGAGAACAATAAGACATGCCAAGGAGGGAAGTTAACTTCTGGAATGGCAGAGCAAGAACCTTCAGAAACCTGTTCTTGCATAAAAGCAACAGAACCCTGGCACAAACTGTCAGAATGAACTTTTTTGTAACTCTGGAAATTAAAAGTTTACAACAATCCAAAGAGCATTTATTTAGGAAAAACAACTGCATCTCATAAGATCAGTAAGCCTTGTGGTATTGTAACTTGCACTAATTTCTCCCTCTCTCCCCAGCTCTGTGGTAGTCATGAAAACCAACAGGCTCTCAATCACAGCTCTGTAAAACAACTAGCAGGGTAACAGCCACGGCAGGACTGAAAGGAGTTGAGAGCTTCCCCCACATCCCATCCCCCAAGAACTGCCATTTGTCTAGCAGCTCCCTGAAAGGCTCCATTCTCATGGCTTGTCTTTATTTGATCTGACTTGGAGCTCACAATGCCTTATTTCTGGAACACTGTTAACATTTATCAAAAAAAAAAAAAAAAATCAGTGACAACTATTTAATATCATAGTTATCTGAGGTGGCATTCCCTGTTGGGATAAAAAGAAGCTGACAAACAAAAGAAAAAAAGTGGGGAATAGGATGTTCATGGGGGGCTTTGAAATGCTCCAACATATTTCCGGGAATTTAGAAGGCACATATATAGGGCTATGAGTATGCCCACGAAAGATCTGAGAAGGTCCTAATCTTTCACCTCTGGCTGACCCTGAGTCTGCACAAGCAAGAAGTAAAGACACAGAAAAGGATGGGAAATTTATTGGTTCAAGGCATTTAAGGACATCTCTATCCAGTTATTACCTGATGACCAAGCTAACCAGACAGACTTCTGTGGCTGCACATACCGAAGAACACAGATTTAGTCCAAGAAAGTCATTACATAAACAAATAGCAGCAATAATAAATCCAGGATAGGGGAGAGGGAAGGGAAGTGAAGACCTGATTTCCCAAGTGGTCATTTTACATTATTTCAAATATCCAATTTCAACAAAACTTGTGAGACATGCAAAGAAGGAAGCAAATGTGGCCCTTACACAAGACAAAAAGGAATCAACAGAAACTGTCCCTGAAAAAATCCAGATACTGGACTTACTAGACAAAGACTTTAAATCAACTAGTTATTTTAAATATATTCAAAGCACTGAAGGAAACCATGTCTGAAAAATTCAACAAAATTTGAGAATGATGTCTAATCAAAGAGAATATCAATAAAGAGTTAGATTGTTAAAAAAGAAGCCAAATAGAAATTCTGGAATTGAAAAGTATATAACAAATAAAACTTTCATTAGAAGGACTCAGCAAAGGGCACCTGGGTGGCTCAGTCGGTTGAGCGTCCAACTTTGGCTCAGGTCATGATCTCGCGGTCCATGAGTTCGAGCCCCACGTTGGGCTCTGTGCTGACAGCTCAGAGCCTGGAGCCTGTTTCAGATTCTGTGTCTCCCTCTCTTGCTGTGCCCCTCCCTCATTCATGTTCTGTCTTTCTTTCCATGAAGCATAAATAAAACATTTAAAAAAAATTTTTTTTAAAAAGAAGGACTTAGCAACAGACATGAACTGACAAGAGAAAGAATCAGCGAACTCAAAAAGAGGTATACTGAGGAAAGAAAGAAAAGAGAATAACAAAAAGAGAACAAAGAAAAATGAACAGAACCTCAGAGACCTGTAGGACACCATCAAGAATACCAAAATATGGAGTCATCAGAGCTTCTTCCAGACATGCGTCTTCCCTTGTTTCCTGGACTCTCTTCACAGCATGGCCCCCAAATGCCAGTCTTCACTCTCACCTCAAATGAAGAAACTGAGACTGCCTCTTGCCTCCAAGCCAGAGGAGACAGCACCCTCTCAACCCTTGCCAAAGGGAGAACAAGAACAGCCAACAACTGAACATCCTGATGAAGTACAAAATGGAACAGACAGACTTAACGAATAAGCCAGTGAGAAGACTTTGAAAGTAGAACAGAAATATAAGAAACTCTGCCAACCATTTTTTCAGAAGAAGTTGGAATCGACTGCCAAAATCCGACAAGGGGGTAACAATCCCACAAGTTTCTGCACTGCTTGGGAAGGAAGATGAAGAGGCACTACATTACTTGACAAGAGGTGAAGTGACAGCATTTGAAGATATTAAATCAAGTTACAGGATAGATTTTTATTTTGATGAAAACCCTTACTTTGAAAATAAAGGTCTCTCCAAAGAATTTCATCTGAATGAGAGTGGTGATCCATCTTCAAAAGCTACTGAAATCAGACGGAAATCTTGAAAGGATTTGATGAAATGTCCAAGTCAAATGCAGAAGAAAGCCAGCGGAAAGAGACAGCATGAGGAACCAGAAAGCTTCTTCACCTGGTTTCCTGACCATTCTGATGCAGGTGCAGATGAGTTAGGAGATGTCATCAAAGAGGATATTTGATCAAATTCATTCAAGTACTACTTGGTTCCCAATATGGATGATGAAGATGGGAACAGAGAAGG